TTAGTACAACTATTATTCAAATTTATGCACCAACCACTAATGCCAAAGATGAAGAAATTGAAGATCTTTACCAACTTCTGCAGTCTGAAATTAATCAAATACGTGATCAAGATGCATTGATAATTATTGGTGATTGAAATACCAAAGTTGAAAACAAAAAAGGATTGGTAGCTGGAAAATATGGCCTTGGTGATAGAAACAATGCCAGAGACCACATGATAGAATTTTGCAAGACCAATGACATATTCACTGGAAATACCTTTTTTCAACAACATAAATGGTAGCTATACACATAGGCCTCTCCTGATGGAATATGCAGGAATCAGATTGATTACATCTGTGGAAAAAGATGATGGAGAAGCTCAGTATCATCAGTCAGAAAGAGACAAGGGGCAGACTAGGGAACAGACCATCAGTTGCTCACATGCAATTCAGGTTGAAGCTGAAGAAAATTTTAAAAATCCTATGAGAGCCAAAGTATGACCTTGAACATATCCCACCTGATTTTAGAGGCTATCTCAAGAATTGATTTGATGCATTGAACACTAAAGACCAAAGATCAGACAAGTTGTGAGATGACATCAAGGTCATCATACATAAAGAAAAGACAGGAAAGAAAAAAGAGACCAAAATGGATGTCAGAAGAGACTCTGCAAATTGCTCTTCAATGGAGAGGAGCTAAAGCGAATGGAAAAAATGATGAAGTAAAAGAGCTGAACAGAAGATTTCAAAGAGCAGCTTGAGATGACAAAGTAATGTATTATAATGAAATATGCAAAAACCTGGAGTTAGACAACCAAAAGGGAAAAAACATGCTCAGCATTTCTCAAGCTGAAAGAACTGACGAAACAATTCAAGCCTCTAGTTGCAATATTGAAGGACATTATGAGCAAAAAAGTACCCACAGGGGGGAAGTGGGAAAAGAGTTATTACATTGTGGGGGTTTCAGTTAATATCATGAAAGAAAACATGAACTATTGAGAGGAAAACAAATTTGCTCTGTAAACTTTCACCCAAATCACAATAAAAAGTTAAAAACAAAAAATATACTGCACAAAGCATGTAGCATCAAAAGAAGATGGAAGGAATACACAGAGTCACTGTACCAAAAGAAATTGGTCAACATACAACCATTACAGCAGGTAGGATATGATCAGAACTGATAGTATTGAAGGAAGAAGTTCAAGATGAACTGAAGGCATTGGCCAAAAACAAGGCTCCAGGAATTGACAAAATACCAATTAAGATGTTGTAACTAATAGATGCAGTGCTGGAAGTCCTCACTTGTATATGCCAAGAAGTTTAGAAGGTAGCTACCTGGCCAACCAACTGGAAGAGATCTAAATGTGGGCCCATTCCAAAGAAGGTGATCAAACAGAATGCGGAAATTATCAAACAATATCATTAATATCACACACAAGTAATATTTTGCTGAAGATAGTTAAAAAACTGTTGCAGTAGTACATCAACAGGGAACTGGCAGAAATTCAAGCCAGATTCAGAAGTGGTAGTGGAATGAGGGATATCATTGCTGATGTCAGATGGATCTTGGCTGAAAGCAAAGAATACCAGAAACAGTACAACACTGTTTACCTGTGTTGTACTGACTATGCAAAGGCATTCGACTGTGTGAATCATAACAGATCATGGATAATATTGTGAAGAATGGGAATTCCAGAACACTTAATTGTGCTCATGCAGTTACTGTACATAGAGCAAGAGGCAGTCATTTGAACAAAGTAAGGGGATACTGTGTATTTTAAAATCAGGAAAGGTGTGCAACAGGGCTGTATCCTTTCCCTATACTTATTCAATCTGTGTGCTAAGCAAATACCAGAAGCCTGACTATATGAAGAAGAACTTGACATCAGGTTTGGAGGAAGACTCATAAATAACCTGTGATATGCAGATGACACAATATTGCTTAGTGAAGCGGAGGACTTAAAGCACTTATTGATGAAGATCAAAGACTGCAGTCTTCAGTATTACACCTCAACATAAAGAGAACAAAAATTTTCACTACTGGCCTAATAAGCAACATCATGATAAATGGAGAAAAGATTGAAGTTGTCAAGGGTTTCATTTTACTTGGATCCACAATCAATGCCTAGGGAAGCAGCAGTCAAGAAGTCCAACATTGTATTGCATTAGGCAATGTTGCAAAAGACCTCTTTAAAGTGTTAAAAAAAAAAAAAAATGTCACTTTGAGAACTAAGGTGTGCCTGACCCAAGCCATGGTATTTTCAGTTGCCTCATATGCATGAAAAAACTGGATAATGAATAAGGAAGACCAAAGAAAAATTGATGCACTTGAATTATGAAGTTGGTCAAGACTATTAAATATACCTTGGACTGCCAGAAGAACGAACAACTCCGTATTGGAAGAAGTACAGCCAGAATGCTCCTTGGAAGCAAGAATAGTGAGACTTCTTCTCACATACATTGGACATATATCAGGAGGGACCAGTTCCTGGAGAAGGACATCATGCTTGGTAAAGTAGAGAGTCAGTGAAAAAGAGGAAGACCCTCAGTGAAATGGATTGTGACAGTGGGCTTAAACATAGCAATGATTGTTGGGATGATGCAAGACTGGGGCAGTGTTTTGTTCTGTTGTATGTAGAGTCACTATGAGTAAGGACCAATTCAGCAGCATGCAACAACAGCTCTCAATTTGGATTTGTGTGATGTTTCCTCATGTTTAGATCCAGGTTATGTGTGTTTGTCAGGGATCCCACAGAAGTGATGTTGTGCCCTTCACAGGGCATCACATCAAAAGGCATATGATGTTGATGTGTCTCATTACAGCGATCATCTGGATATTGCCTTTTCTAAAAAACATGTGAAATCAACACACAATGGAATACCGTGCAACACTAAAGAATAATATAGAATCTATAAAACACCACGTAATGTGGATGAACTTGGAAGACATTATACTGAGTGAAATAAGTCAATCACAGAAGGACAAATACTGTATTAGTCTACTATTGTAAAAAGTCAAGAAAAAGTTTATACATGGAAGGAAGCTTTCTTTGTTGGTTACCAGGGATGGGATAGGAGGAGAGGGAAAATTGCTAGGTAGATTAAAAAAATACACACACACACACATACATACATACATACATATATATATATATATATATATAT